CATAAGATAAAATGCAGAAATTGTTAGCTGTGGAAAAAGTAAGAGAGGAATGAAAAAAGTAAAACAGTAGTGTGAATGCTGACTCGCAGAATTAAATCCTTCCTATAATTTAGGACTCGTTTAAGAAAAGTGCTCCTTCAGGCACAAAGTGAAATCACTTTAAGATGCAAAGCGTCATGGCGTCACAACAGTTTGACACGTTTCTGTTTTCCCCTCAACACTGCACAGAGCAGGAGAGAACTGACGAGCGTCTCGTTAAACGATTCAGCTTCTCGGCTTCCTTTCTGCAGACCATGAAGGAACCAGATGTCTTTCCCCTGTAGGTTATGGCAGTGCTTTGAGAGATTTATCTCCATTAGATTTGAAAACTACGGTCAACAAAGTGAAGGGGAGGGGGCGTCAGGTCCCACAGGCCGGTGCAGAGACAACATTTTTCTTGAAATATCAGGTCACAGTTTACATTTCAGCCCACACTATATATATATATATATATATATATATATACATATATATACAGTAAGCTTCTATCTATATGTGATCAATCAGTCTGCAAACGCCTTTCATCAAGGCTGCTTTAGCATTATCACACTCCTCCCACGCACTGGAGTGAACACTTTACACACAAGTAAAGAAAAAGGAAACAATGAAAATATGTGCAAAAGGGCACCATGCGTGCAAGAGACCATGAGAGGCACGTCTTTTCTTTTTTTAGGTGAGAGTAAAAGGAGAGTTTCTGCCACAGCTGAGAGGCGTAGCACTCTCTGGCCAGGGTCTTTGTAAAAAAACACCAGGAGACACGAGTAATAGTGAAAAGTGAGGCACGAGTGTGAAAAGGAAGAGGTAAAGCCGACGATAAATTTGCTCCACGTTGGCTTTTAATACACTAACAACCCAGGAGAGGCTAACACAGGAGGCAAATGATGTTTGTAAGGATAAACACCACAAGCCCCGCCCACAATGCCAGTAAGTTAATGATTGTTTTCCTGAGTTTAAAGCACTTAGTGCTGAAATTGAAGGTTTAGTTGTAGGTTGGGTGCTGAAGGGTGGGGGGTGGGTTAGTCCCACTCTCAGTGAGTCACTGAAGTTAGTTGGAAACCAGGTGGGTCTCACTAAAACCAACGAACCAATGGAAGGTTTGAGTGGTTCAGTTTCTTTTTGCCTGGGCTTCCCTGAAATGGAGACCCTTACTTTATTTTAAATGAAAGGGCTGCAAAGAAAAACATTTTTTGGCTTTAAAAATATTTCAAAGCAAAATACTTCACGAGCCACCGGATGAGTTTCAATGAAACTTTCAGAACATAAGCTTTGGGTCTAACAAAGTTAAGTCAGGTCTTCTGGACAGATTAATTAATAAAAAAAAAAAATTAACTTGTTGAAACGTTTCGTCTTTTATCCAAAATACTTTTTCAGTCTGAGGAGCTGCAATAAACTCAGTCGTATAAATAGCACCCTCTCATAGTGGATCAACCAGTTTGTTGTTGACATCCAGAACTAGCTGTTCACCTGATCAAGGAGGACCATCAGTCTAACAATTGGTCGTTAGTGCCATGATGGCCACTTGTTATTCACAGAGTAATTACTGAGTGATATTAGCCCAATGCTAGTATCAGTGTTGTTATTGCTAGTATTCCTCAGCCCTCTGTGAACAACAAGCGGTCATCATGGCACTAACGACCAATTGTTAGCCTGATGGTCCTCCTTGATCATGTGAACAGCTAGTTCTGGATGTCAACAACAAACTGGTTGATCCACTATGAGAAGGTGCTATTTATAAGACTGAGTTTCAGCTCCTCAGACTGAAGAAGTCTTCTGGATAAAAAGCAAAACATTTCAACAACTTTTTAATTTTTAATCCATCCAGAGGACTTGACTTTAATTTGTTTTTTTGTTTTTTTTTAACCTGGATTATTGAGCATGCATCAAGATATAATCTTTGGGTGGGCATCTACAGGTGCTAAAATGTTGGGAGTCAACCCAATTCAAGATGGCCGCCAAAGCCAACTGGCCCAAAACATAAACAGCTCTAAAAATGTTATAGATATTGAGCTAAATATTGGTGTGGTAGTAGCTGAGAGTCACCCTCAACTCATACTTAGAGCACTATACATTACAGGGCATCTTTTTCTTAAACTTTGGCATTTGTCTGTTAGCAAAATATCTTAGGAAGCACTGAACAGATTTGAACGAGTGACTGGATGTGCATCTGCCATCACAGAAGTGACCTTAACTTACTAAGCTACTGTTTATGTGGTAGTAGCTGAGAGTCGTCCTCAACTCGTACAACTTCTCAACGAGAAGACAGGGCGAAGGAGAGCCCTCTTGTCCTGACGGGTCATGTGCAGCTGGATACACGATGGATTCCTGGGGGCAGTGGAAGATCGTGTGTCTGTCGGTTGAGGATGTAGAAGATGCGCACATAATTGGATTTATGAAAACAGGCTTTCTGCTTTTTGGAGTAGGCGGTTACCTGGCATATCGGCAAATGCGGAAAACGTCGGCAGCTGTTCTGGACTTGAATTGGCCAACTATCTCAAACTCTCCTGAATGGCATGTGAACAAGTTGCTCTGCCCCCTCCCTCCCCACTCCCTTCCTGATGAGCTGTGGACCTGTGTCAGAGGCGGCTGATAAGACGCTGCACCATCTCTTATCAGGACTGTGGAACTATCTGGCAGTGTCCACGGACAACTCACCGCCTTCATCAGCCTCCTCATGCATGAATGTATTATGATGTCATCAGTATGTTGCTGCTTCTGTGTCCCGTCTAGGACACAGCGCAAGATATGATTTTTTTTCATACCTCCCCTCCCCTCGTGTTTCTTTTTTCATATCTAAACAAAAAGGGCAGCACCTCCCGAAGGCCGCGGCCTCAGACACCTCCGTCTACCCATGTCTGTTTGTTTGTTTTCTCGGACGGGCTGTACTGAAATATAATTTCGTTGTGCTTCGGTGAAGTGACAATAAAGTTGATTCTGATGCATAACGCATCTCTTGAGATGTGGCTGTGGCAGCCATCTTGAATTTAAACACTGCCTTGCTCCTTCAAGGACTGCCAGGCCTTTAAATTTAAAATGAATGGAGATAAATCGTGTCGTGGTTTTTAGCTTTAAAAGTCTGAACAAATGTCTAAAATATGATAATTTTAAAATATCCACACCAGTAAAAACAATAAAGACAGTTTTATTTGAGTTTGTGGGTGTGCTGATAGACATGTTTTAAATTTTGACAGTTTAATTGCAGCGTAGGAGGATTTTTTTGTTACTTTTTTCTTCTAAAGTTGCACAAGAACCTCCTCCTCTTCATGCGTTAGAAAAAGCCCCGTCATGCAGAAGCGTTTTTATCCAGCACCATCTTTATGGATCAGTTTAGCTCAGTCTAAAAATGTTCAGCAAGGTCATCACATCGAGTTCTTTATCAGATCTGAGGTTCTTGTTCCCATCAACAAATAGCATCCTCTTTTTATTGGTGTTCAGTTTATCTTCGTGTCCAGGTTGGAAAGCATTCTTAAAAATAAAATAAAAACTTGTTACATTTTACAGATTTTAAGCTCAAATTTGTTCTGGTAGTAGCTGAGACTGATCCCCAACTTGTACCATGAGTGAAAACTGACGGTGCAAGATCTCTGTTAAAACTTTCACTTTAATTGTTGGAATCAACTTGTCTGTTAGCAAAATATCTCACGAACCAGTGGATTAATTTTAATGAACCTTTCAAAAAGTAATCTCTAGGTTGACATCTACAACTCATTAACTTTTAGGCGCAACCCAATTTAAGATGGCCGCCACAGCCCACTGACTTTACAAAACACAAAAATGGGCATCACTCAGTAGATTTTAGAGATATCGAGCTCAAATTTAGCGCAGCAGTAGCTGTTAATTGCCTTTAATGAATATATTTAGTGCAATATGTTTGCTTAAAACGATGGCATTAACTTTTTAGCATCCACCCTGTTTGTCTGTTAGCAAAATATCTCACAAATCACTGGAAGGATGTCAATGAGACTATCAGAAAGTAATCTCTGGAGCTACACCTACAACTGATTAGTGTATGGAGTCAATCCAATTCAAGATGGCCGCTACAGCTTATCGGCTTTAACCAAAATTCCTATATCTCAATGATTTTTATAGATATTGAGGTAAAATTTGGTGTGGTAGTAGCTGACAGTGTTTCACAACACATTCTAACCGCTTACAGTACATGCAAGATCAAACGCGTTAGTGCACGATATTACACGCTTGCATCGCTTTGTTTCTTGACATAAGGAGACCTCAGTTTAAAACGAACATAAGAAGGGGCAATATGCCTTTCTTCAAGCAAAGCTAGGCTTTTAAATAGTTCCTGAAACTAATGATAACTTTTATTTTCTTGAAACACGAGGCTGTATATGAGAAATTACGCAAACTGATGCTTATCTGCGTGCACGCTAGAGGTGGAGGTTTCGTGTCTGCTCGCGATAAGCGTCGTTATCTACAGCTGAATGAGTCTGTCAGATCAGCGCCCGTCGGTTTATGAAAACCTGCTGCCATTTCTGAAATAAACAGCCTCTTATCAGATTGATGGCATCGATGTGACTAACCTCGCAGATTCTACCTGAAACCTTCACATCCCGGATTATCGCGTCTGTTTTAAGGCCGACGGGCCGAGCGCTGCCGTGGTTAAAACACCGAAGCCTGAAAACCGTCGTTTGTCCATCTGGAAATAGACGTGCTCCGTCGACGCAGCCCCTGAGCGCCTCATGACACATCGAGCACAAAAGCTGTGCGATTTCGTGCTCTTGAATTATGCGCTCTGACGTGCAATCTAAAAATACGAGCTGCTTTCGTCGGCCTGCCTGATTTGACGAGGTCTAAGGTGGATAGGAATGCACGTGTGGTGTCTTCTCAGCTGCCTGGTTTCATTTTGGCAGTAATTTGCAGATTAAATCATTTGCAGGCCCTTGCCTCGTAATGTTCTGCTACAACAACGGCGATGATGATGATGATTACATAATTTCCTCCTTCAGGGTGAACTTGGCTCTGGCCTACACGGAGTTAACGGAGGAGCTGGGACGCCTCCAGGCGCTGTGCTCCAAGCAGACGGAGATCCTGAGGAAAGCCACGCAGGAGCCGGCGAGTCCAGGTTGGCACCTACAGCACTCGATCAGAACCACGACGACAATAAACAAAAAGCCACTGCTGGTTCCAGTTACTGTTCGGAATTAGAGCCACCTCTGTCGCTTTGGGGAAAATAACTTTAGTCTTTTACTTGCTTTAAATAAACCTTCCAAATAAATATTCAAACGTGACACAAAGGTCTGCTATAAATCTTAAAGGGACATTTCAGCTCTTTTAAATTTTAAAATTATATGAACAAATAATATCTTACCTGTTGTTGATACTTTTTGAACAACCTCAGTTTGAAGAGAGAAAAAAAGAAGCGTTATTTTGACCATTTGAACTAACAGGTAAGGAAAGCAGGGCCAACATTGATTGTTTTCATCTTAAAACAACTGTAATTTAAATATATATATATATATATATATATTAACAAATCAAAATGGCTGAAGTGGCAGCTAAACTACAAAAATGCAAACCATATGGACAAGGAAGATCATGAACATGGTATAAAACATCCACAATGCCAGACCACAGGCATGATGAAGACTGAGTGATGAGAGACACCTGGGCTAAATGACAAAAGGGAACAGGTGTAAGTGGGCGGGGCAAAACCGCAAAGTGATGCCTGACAATGGAAAATTACTGAAGATGGCTAGAAATACTGGGAGGCAAAGAAACGGAACGCAAATAAAATAAAAACACCAAACATTGTAAGAAAAAAACAAAATAAACTCAAAACAAACTAAACACACAAACAGCAAATAATCCGTCAACTCACGATGGAGTTTTTAAACTCGCAGGTGAAAAAGTGGACACAAGCCTGTACAGCTGAAATCAGCCCATGTTTGTCCTACACGTCCTCCTTTTCTACCGTCTTTATTACTATTAATGTAAGTGTCTGCATGTTTGGAATGTCTTTTATTGATGACTTCAGTGTAAAAAGCACAACCAAGGATTAATTTCAAATATATGATTTTGGTTCGACAACCTGTTTGTTTTCTCTGCGCTCTTTGTCAAATAAACTCTCTAAACTTAAACGAAATTAGACCAAAGTTCATGCTCAATAATCCAGGTATAAAATCCAACAATGTTCATTCAGATCATCTGGACAGTTTCTTTGTTTGCTGAGACGTTTTGTCCTTCGTCCAAAGGACTTCTTCAATCTGAGAAGCCACCAAACAACACTCCTTAGTGGAATAAACCAGTTTGCTGGTGCTAAAATGGCCTCCGGGGCCCACCCCCTCCCCTTTCAACTCCTCTGGAACAATCATGCCAAAGTGGTTCAAAACACCAAAGTTCATGCTCGATAATCCAGGTATAAAATCCAACAATGTTCATTCAGGTCATCTGGACGTTTTTTTATTTGTTTTTCTGAGACGTTTCATCCTTCATCCAAAGGACTTCTTCAATCTGAGGAGCCACCAATCATCCAGGTAAATTAATTTTAAAAAGTTGAGCTTACATCAGGACATTTTGAACCACTTTGGCCAGGCTCGTCTCAGACTGGTTCTGTGAATAGCAAGCGGCCATTAGGGCACTAACGATCGATGGTTAGCAACAAAGTCCATGCTCAATAATCCAGGTATACAATCCAACAATTTTCAGTCAGGTCATCTGGACAGTTTCTTTTTTTTTTTTTTTGTGCTGAAGTGTTTCACCTTCCATCCAGAAGGCTTCATCAGTCATGGAAACACACAACACAAAACTATCGATGGTTAGGTTACTGGCGATCTATTGTTAGACTGATGGTCCTTCTTTTACATGTGAACGGCTGGTTCTGGAGGTCTCCAGCAAACTGGTAAATCCACATTGAGACGGTGCTGTTAATAGGACTGAGAAACGTTTCAACCGAGAAGAATCTGTCCAGATGACCTGAGTTAACTTTTTAGGATTTATTTACCTGGATGACTGAGATTACATCACGACACTTTGCTAACCCATTTTCTGCCAACTAAAAAGTTAGCTTAGCTAATGCTAAACAGGTAAAAAATATAAAATAGCGGAAGCTAATGGTGAACCGCTTAGTCGACTGTCTCTCAGTTTGTGTCTTCGGCTCCTTCTAGTTGAAGCTGCGTCGGCCAATCACGTCACGTCACATGTACACGTAGTCAACCAATGGCGTGCCTGTCAGACTCATTGAGACACGCCCACAACAGACAATAAGCTTGTGAATTTTGTTAACAGACAAAGTGGGCAAAACCTGATTTAGCTTCCGCTAACTGTTTGCAAAGTTAGCAAAAACACTAATCCGCTCAACGAAGAACGTGTTCCTCCATTAGCCGTTAGCGGAGCTGTGCCCACGTCTGGCGGTCTCGAAGATTTGCTCGATACATTTCACCTTTGGGTTCGTCTAAAAACAGAACGGGGAAAAAGAAGTGCTGGTTGAGATTGTTTGTTTTGTCACTTAAAAAGGTAAAGCTAGAAGCTAAAAATATGCGTTGTAGTGTAAAACGTAGAGGTGTCAAACAGTAGCAACACTTTTCTCTGCCTGTGCAGTGTGTCGCTAATCTGTAGTCTCGCAGCTGAGCACGTTTAACGAACCGCAAACCAAACAGACACTCGTGTGCAGATTATGCTGATTATACAGTGGAAGGCGCTCCAGATGTTGGATACGTGACCAGAACCCACTCCTATTCGACTGTCCGCTCCTCGTTCAGAGAACACTCATGATCGCCACCTTTCATCAGCTCAGCCACGCCACCGCTGACGTTTCCTCTTTGTAAAGGGAAGTTCGTCTGAAATGGTGACAACAGGGCTGAGTCACTCAGCAGGTCTCATAATTAGAGGAAACACTACAACTGTACTAGTGCAGATAAATCTTTTTTTTTTATCAGCACACAGAGGAACAGAGAGTTTTTCTGCTGAATGACTTGTTGCAACATTTGATGGATGTTCTCTGATAGAACATCAAACTTATTTATGTAAAAGCAAAAGGCGGCAGGAAAATAATAAACGTGATTAATTTTCTTCTCTCAAAAATATAGATTTGGAGCAAAAACGTTGTACCGTACTTTTCGCCGTAGAAGTCCAAAACTGGTTATTACTCTTGACCAAGAGGCAATCCTTCAAATTATTAAAACGCAATAGATACATTTCTGTGACCTTTAGATTAATTTCAAATACAACTCAAAGTCTGAAAAGTTGTGTCAAGTTGTATACATCAGAGGCAGGCTTTTGAAATTTGCGCTGCTATTAGGACTTTTTCATCACATTTAACAGGTTTATTACCATATTTTTCGCCGTATAAATCGCACCTTCTTGCATAAATTAGCATACCCTGCGACTTATACACCGAAGCAACTAATATACGTTTTTCCCATATTTATGACTCAATTTTTGGCTGAGACCTGACAATTTCATTCATTCTGACATGAAAAATATTGAACACTGCCATTTTCAGCCACTAGAGGGCCCTCAACTAATATGGCAAGCAAAGTATCTCATTAATAGGTTAAAGTGGCTATTATTGAGACACTTGACTTGCCATACAAACCACTTTCATCTCACTCTGGAACTCCTGGAGCAAACGTCAAATCAGGTGCATTTCACCGCACCGCCCAGGTGAAATGCAGCTGATCTTACCATTAAAGTGCATTTATTAAGTAAAAGTTAAACTGACACACATTTACTATGAGGTCGAGCAAACAAATAATTGCTTTTAAGTTTTAATCTTGTTAAATTCTTGTTGAAGTCGTCCCATGCTCGCTCCCGCGGCTGCCATTCGATTTTTGGCACAACACAGGCCCACGTTTCCAGGTGGTCAGTGGTGAAGCATAATAGATGCAACTTATATGGTGAAGCGACTTATTTATGGTTTTTTTTCCACTTTATTAGACGTATTTGGACTGGTTTGACTTATGCATGGCGGTGCGACGAATACGGTGGAAAGTACGGTATATATTGCACAACAGTCCCTTCTTATATGCAGGTTTTCATGCTCTTAAAAAGTTAATGAAAGTGTGTGTTACTATAAAACTCCTTAAGGGAGTTTAGAAAATTCATCTTTAAATAAATTGCCCCTTAAAATCAGCTGTAAAACCATCTTCATATGAAGGATTCTGTTTCCCAAAATAAATCTGAACACATTTTACAGATTACGTCTGCATATTAAATGCAAATATTATCATGATGACAAATGTAATGTCTCGGGCTGTTCTTAAACGTTTTCCATGCATTCGAAAAAAAAACCAAAACAATATAAAAAGATACTCCTAAATACCCATTACTCCCGCCAGTAGGTGGCGATAATGATAAAGTCAATAAGTTAAAATTATAAGAAGAACATTTTGAATGTTACTTATATGAATATTTAGACCAACAACTGGAAGCTGGAAGTTGAAGCAAAAACTAGACCAGCTTCCCCACAAAGTTTTAAGCCCCGCCCCCTCCATGTAAGCAAGTAAACAACATTACTGTGGGCAAAATGAAAAGAAAAAAACACCTCATATTTATTTTTTGTGGTGTTTATGAATATGTTAGCATAATAATTAAATTAAATAATTAAACTAAAATTATGGCAGATATTTTTCAAGAAATCTTATTTTAAATATAAAATAAATGTTTTTCCTCATTCATTGTTTTTTCCTTTCATTCCTCAATCGTTGCTGCTGTTACACTGGAATTTTCCATCCGTGGGACAATAAAGGCTGTTTCTATTCTATTCTATTCTATTCTGTTTTGTATTTTCTGCTCCTTGTGAAAATGACTTGGACGACCTTCTAAGGTCTGAATAGACTGGTGATAAATCAGACAAGAGGGACTCAGGTTTGTAGCAAAACTGTTTTTCTTAAAAAAAAAAAGTTGTTAAAAATAATTATCTCGTTCTCGTCGACCCAGGGTCTCGTCCAGTAGAATAAACGCCTTGATGCACTTCTATTGATAAATCATTATCTTTACATTTGGTTTAACACAGTTGTTTACTAATTTATTCAACATTTCTTGAATTTTACATTAATTCTTGTAATTCGTAGAAGTGTTGTAGCACCCTCAGCGCCCCAAGTTCCCAGGATCTTTAACGTGAAAACATTTTCAAACAAAACATCCAACACTGTTTTTGTCTCATGCTTTACGTGTTTTGTTTCCTCTCTGGCCCTTCAGTGCAGCTTCACTCGCCCATCCACCACCAGCGCCACTCCCCGGTCTCCCAGCGCCACTCGCCCATCTCGCAGCGCCATTCTCCGGTCCCGCCGCCTCCGCATCACTCCCCGATCCAGCAGCGGCGCTCTCCGGTCCTGCAGCGCCTTTCCCCCGACATGCATCGACGCTCGCCCCTGCTGGACGTCATCGATGGGCCTGCGTCGTACTCCTACCGACCGCCCTCGCAGCACCTGAGGGCCAGCTTCAAGGGCCGCCGCAGTTACTCCGAGGTGGCCGACCCTTCGGCTTACCAGTGCCCGCCTCGCTTCTCTTTGGACCCGGTCTCTACACTGCCCAAGCCCCGGCCCTATGTTGAGGGCTACCCGAAGCAGCAGCCCCAACACTCCCCTCACAGCGGACTGCAGCACCGAGGGTCATCTTCTCCTCTGAAGGGTGGGGCGGGAGGAGACAGCAGCCTGGGGGAGAGCTCCCTGCGCCACTCCAGAGAGATGCCTTTCCCTTTGTCAGAGGTGGCGCACCTTCATTTTGAGCCACCTCCCCCGTCCACGCCTGCTCCCCAGCCGCCGCAGTCTTCTGAAGACGAGGAGGAGTGGACCTGTCCTCACCCCATCAGCCCACCGAGGACGCTGGGCGTGCTCTCTCCTGGAGGAGCCGGCGGAGTCATGAGGGGCCCTGCGTCCTGCTCGGCCTTTCCCATCCCTCAGAGGCCTAATAACCTGAGCTGCCACCCTCCGCAGGGGTACCCGTCAACTGAGCACGCTCAGTCCTGGCCCTCAATCAACGTGAGTTAAGCTAAACATTAGAAACGTTAGATACATGTTGGACTTGTGTCTCTGTCATTTCATCGTGTCTGCAGGTGCAGACTCTGAGACGGTTTACCAGCCCTTTGAATTATCTTTCCACTCCCCGCACTCACTGTCACAATCGTCTTGTAGTTCCTGTAAAACAATAACGAGACAAATTGAGAAATACTCGTTTACTTCTTTCTGTAAAAGAACAGAAGTCAAATATGTGACTGTGCATGACAAACAGAGATGGAGCCGAGATGTGAAGCCTAAATCAAGAAGAAGAAAAACTAATGAACCTCTCCCGGAAACTGTCCTGAGGCGCAACGTCGGCAGCTGATTGTCTCTGAAGGTGACCTCTGCCACCACAAGAGCTCAATGATTTTACTCACTTCTGTCCTTTATAATAACCAGTCTGTGTGGTTTCAGCTGGATTAAATACCATTTTTGTTCTAAAGCAAACTTGTTGGGCTCTTTAGGACAAATTGATTTGCATCATCACTGCACAAAAACTAGACATGAAGCGTCATCACAAATGATGAGTGAGCTCTGCTCAGCTGATCGAGGCCGAACACGTCTCAGTATTCTTACTTTCAGAATTAAAGAGCACAGCAGGTTTCCAGGATCCTCTGCTATTCCTAAATTACTTAAAAAAAACTGAGCTGGGTCAAATCAGTGTTTAAACGAGAGTTTTGACCCTGATTCTGTCTTAAGTGGTGTTTATATTTATTTCAACAGTATTATGTTACCTATTTATATATAGCTCGACTGAAAACACTGCTATGACTTTAAGTAGTTTTAACTTAGATACTTTATAAATAATTTAACATTATTGACTATTTTTTCTCTATAGAAATACAGCGATCTCATCATTTCCTTCATAAACGTTGTCTAAATTCTTATGCATACGTGCTGTTTAAGTTCTTTTATGCTCCTTTTAGCTGCTACCTACTGATAATGTAGCTTTTAGCAATTGTTTAGCTAATTTTAGTTTTTAGCTATGGTTTTGTTAATTTAGCTTTAAGTTACTGTTTTTCTATTCCTAACATTTTAGCTGTTAACTACAATTTTGCAGATTTTAGCTTATAGCTATTGTTTTTGCTCATTTAGCTTTAAGTGACTGTTTTGCTATTCCTAGCATTTAGCAATGATGTTGCTAATTTTAGCTGTTAGCTAAAATTTAGCAGATTTTAGCTTTAAATTAAAGTATTACTGATTTAGTAAAGCTGCAATTTTGCTAATTTAGCTTTAGGCTATTGTTTTGCTATTCCTAGCATTTAGCAATGATATTGCTAATTTTAGCTGTTAGCTACAATTTAGCAGATTTTAGCTTTTAGCTATGGTTTTGCTAATTTACCTTTAGGTTATTGTTTTGCTATTTCTACAGTTTTGCAATAATATTGCTAATTTTAGCTGTTAGCTACAAATGAGCAGATTTTAGCTTAAAGTATTACTGGTTTAGCGGTTAAGTTGCAATTGTGCTAATTTAGCTTTAAGCTATTGTTTTGTTAATTTAGAAATATAGAAGTTTTAGCTTCCAGCTACAGCTTTGCTTATTTTAGCTTTAAGCTAAAGTATTGATGAATTGAGTTTTTAAGAAAATATTTGCTGTTCTTGCTTTAAGCTGCTGTTTGATTCATTTTAGCTTTTAATTGTTTTGCAAATCTTAGCTTTAAGCTACTATGCGTTCATTCTAGTTTTCAGCCATGGTTTTGAAAGATTTTTCTAATTTTGTTTTAAGCTAATTTAGCAGATTTTAGTTTTAAACTGCTATTTCATTTTTCTTTAGCTACTGTGTGTTAATTTTAACTTTTATTGACAGTTTGCAAATTTTAGCTTCTATCTAAAGTTTTTTTTTTTAGCTACAGTTTTGAGCTTCAGTTCTATTATTAACTTTAGATGCTGTAAAAATAATTTTCAAATACTTCGACACACGTTCAGCAAAATGTAATTTCTCTAAATTAAAGATGAAATCTGGTCGTGGAGCTACATGATGATGTAGTTTGGTTTCCTCCCTCAGACTGATCTATTTGATCAAATAAAGTGATCCGTGGGACTTCTTCAGAAGCTCATGGCTCGTGTGTGATGTTTGTGTCGCCCTGCAGCTCTGGATGGAGACGGAGGACAACGACATGAGGAGCTGCCCTCTCTGTCAGCTGATTTTCCCCGTCGGTTACCCTGACGACGCCCTCATCAAGCACATCGATTCCCACCTGGAGAACAGCAAGATATGATTACCATGGCAACGCACATCTGCTCTCTCCTCGTTATGTAACAGAACGTCAGGTCTGTTTAAACGGAGAGACCGGCAGGATTTAGGTCGAGAATCAGTCGGTTCTTGTGTCATAACTGATAGGTGTCAAGCAGTGTGTTTTATTTGGGAGGTTCTGATCCGTCTGTAGGAACACCAGCTCCACATGCTGCTGTCTAGCTGCGAGTTGTTGTGGTTTTAATGAACCTTTTTAATTCTGGTTGACTTTAGCAACATGAGCTGACCGGCGAGGTGTGAGAGGCACACGGACCGGTTCAGGGGCTCAGCGAGCCTCTTTCAGTTTTCATCAGGGAGATTTGAAGCCACTGTTGAAATATTCCTGCTTTTCTATCTCACGCACGCACACTGCGGTTTATTTAGCAGGAAATCTTAAGCTGCAGAAGCCAAAGGAGTCGATTTATTTTAATGATCCAATGTTCAGGAGGGGGGTGAAAGTGGTACTTCTGTTCTGACTGTCGATCAGGGGCTGATTCAAGACAACTACTTTTAAAATAAGAAAACTTGTCAAAAACATGAAGCATTCCACGTTTGCATTTAACTTCCTGGACGAGCAGGAGAGTCTGAACTTGTTCGAGCGCAGACGACGCCGTTTTTGATGATGCTCTGCAGGGCAGGGCTCCTTTTGTCTTATTTTTAAACGGAGGTAAAGTTTTCGTCAGATTAAACCTTCATGCTTGCGGCCTGTTCCAAACGTATCTTAGCACTTTAAGTTAGCGCATCCTATAAAATGTTGTCAGTCTGCGTGTGCACCGGTCAGCCACAGATCTACAGGCGGGGGAACGCTGGTTGTCTCGTGGCAACGCCGGCTGCTTTAAAAGTAAGTTCTGACGAGTCTCCAGGATCTGAGTGACTGTTTCCTGCCGTGGTTAGGTCAGGCTGAAGTGGTGCAGGTGCGTAGGCACCTGTGGGTGACCTATCAATAAGAGGCGTTAAAGATGGCCTGAGATTCACGCTGCAAAGAAGCTGCGCTACAGAAAACCGTGATGCAGGCTGTTGGAGTGATGCATCACAGCTTGGACTGTTTAGTCACAGACTGACCAGAAGTCTGATCCCGGACGCCGTCCAACAGCTCAGGACTGAGTCATGGAGCCACAAAGAATCGAATCCAACAAGTCGGGTTTTGTTTTTCACAACGACCAGGTGTTCATCTTTAAGAAGACGTCTGCAGGATGCAGGAGGTGAGAGTAAGACGCTTCTTTCATGCACCAACTAGCCAATTGTTGTTGCAGACTGTATACGGCGACATCAGTGGCCTCTTTATGCAGGACTGTGTCCTGGCACTACGTGTGGGATGTGCCGGATAATTACTGCCCTTCTATGGAGATCCCGCCCTAAAACTTCCAGGACTTCTGCACAAACAGACAACATTAAACAGATAGAGCAGATCCTTAAGACGTGGGGTTTAATGGAAAAGTTATGAGCAATTAAAATCATACTTATTGTAAATAGATCTTTCCTGGCACCCCTTACAAGAAAAGTCCCATTCTGGGGCCATACCCAATCTTTAAAGGTCACACTTGTGTTTTTGCTCAGACAGCCAAAACGTTATTAAGGTGCAGTAGCTCAGTGGTCGGTGCCACAGTCTTCTAATCCTGGGGCTGCAGGTTCAAGTCCAGGCTGTGTCAGGTAGGGCACAGTGGCCCTGAGGTGTAAACGAACAACATTTGATAAAGCAGAATTACATTAAGCCAAAGCGGAAGTGGCCAAAGCAGAAGTGGCCGAAGCGGAAGTGGCCAAAGCGGAAGTAGCCGGAATCACGTTTGGAAAAAAAACAGAATTACATGTGAAAAAAACTTAATTACCTTGAAGATCCTGCAGAGTTTTTCCAGCGTCATATCTTCTTTAAGCTTGAACAAAACATAACTCTACAGGCTAAAGGCTAGCCTGCTAACTGTACCTCCATTGTGTGTGTACTGTGCATTGTTCTGTTGTTTTGTTTTATGTTGTTAATATAGTTAAAAAAATAAAAACACCACTTACAGTTTGGCCTAATGTAATTCCATTTTTTCAAATGTGATTCTGGCCACTTCCGCTCAGGCCACTTCTGCTTCAGCCACTTCCGCTTCGGCCACTTCTGCTTTGGCTTAATGTAATTCTGTTTTTTCACATGTTGTTCATTTACACCTCAGGGCCACCGTAGCATCCGGTGTAAAACAACTCCCAAATATTCCATGCAAGTTCGCTTGCTGTGGCCACCCCTGCAGAAGAAGAACAAAAGTGAACCTTTATTTTACCAGGAATGTCATTTCTTCTAGCAGGAAGTCTTCCTCATAATGGCGGCATAATTACAAATTAAGAAAACCAAACATTGGTTAAGACATCAAAGACAGACAAAATTAAATTTTACTAATAATTTAGAGAGTTCTTAAACAAAACTAACAGATTATTTTCAAAAAAGATAATGTAATATCCATCCATCCATTATCTTTACCCGCTTATTCCATTTTTGGGTCACGGGGGTCGCTGGTGCCCATGTCCAGCAATCACTGTGCGAGGGGCGGGGTACACCCTGGACGGGTCGCAAGTCCATCACAGGGACACATAGAGACAAACGAGACAAACAACCATTCACTCTCTCACTCACACCTAGGGACACATTAGAGTCACCAATCAGCCTAACATGCATGTTTTTGGTCTGTGGGAGGAAACCGGAGTACCCGGAGAAAACCCACGCATGCACTGAGAAAACATGCAAACTCCACCCAGAAAGGTGGAGGTTGTCCAAGGTTAGCTCGTCTGTCCAATCAGAAATAAACAACCGTAATTTCTGGACTATAGAGTGCACCGGAATAAGCCGTGCTCGTCTATAAGCCGTGGATGTTCATGTTGGAACATGAGTGGCAGCGCACAGCTACGGAGATGTGCAAATGTTGTTGTAGATCAAGAATCAACCACTAGATGAAGTTTTATAGACATTATTTTACTGATCAACACACAGACTGAGTGAACCACACAGGTGTTCATGACAACTACCTCCCTCACCCACGGTTATTCTACGGAATAACTTAACACAAACTAACACATAATGAACACATAAACTAGGCTAACTAGAACAGACTAATTACTAAAAGAACAATGGTAAACAGCTAACCGAATTGATTTAACAATGAACATTTATTCTACCCATAATCCCTCCCTGAGGCCATGTGACCAGCAGTCAGCCACAATGAACCCCAGAATGCTTCAGTACGTACCAGTAACATACACAAATATGTAGAGTTAATATTTTTTTCTGAACAGTGCCGGTAACATGGCTGGTTAGAAAAAATACGGAGCTTACCAGGAATCATTGTTGCTATCTGTAGTCCTCCTGCACAATCTGTCCTTCTGCTCCACGGAGCAAAGTTGCTCTATGAGCATGTGAGACTCGCATGCTCTGCACATGCAGAGGAATCCCCCCCTCATACCCTCCCCGTTTTCTCCACCCCTCCCAATTTTATTGGTTCAACTGTGACCTGTTAGATAATTTCATTGTTCAGATTGTTTTAAAACCTTTGTTTATACAGGTAGTCTCATTGAGTCACAAAGACCCACCCCTCAAGAGAGATGTGCACTGGGCAACTATGTGAGCGCCCGGGTGTGACTAAGTTAAATGTTTTTGGCGGCAGGAAGCTTGTTAGCCCGTCAAAAAAAAAAAAAAAATCCATAAATTTGCCGCAGGGTTCAAAGCCTGTGACAAAAGCAGTGACTTATAGACCAGAAATTATGGTATTTTAAAAACTGAGGCTGTTCAAAAGGCTATCTAAAACTGGTAAGATATTAATTGTTCATAGCATTCCAACACAATTCCCCTTCAAAAGATCTGAATTGTTCCTTTAGTTTTAAGCCTGTGGCTGATTGGTGAATATATAAATCCCATGTACATAATTTACCATTTATATTGTCTGTGTATAAGACAAAAACTATATATGAAAAATATATTTTTACAATTTTTACCTGTTTCTGCACCACACAAGTCATGTTGTTGACAAGTGTCTCCCAAGTATTTGCACACCGCCGTTCACAGCGGCGTCAAGGCCCAGATGAGAAACTTTTCTGTACAAATGAACCACATGGGATCCTCCTTTGTCTTCCTCCAGTGCTGACCTTCATCACAGTTTGATGTCACAGCTGCCCAGACCGCCCAACAACAGAAACCTACAAAAAAAGAGCTGTGTGCAGCTGAAGCAGTTCAAGGAAAGAGGGGCGAGGTTTCGAGCGTGCTGTATTTCTAACACCAGAAAAATCTGCTCCAATCTGTAAAGTTTTTTTCTGCAGGATTTAAGCTGAAAAGAATATTTTCCTTTTGACACACGGATCTATTTATTTTACAACAAAAAGGTCTTGCTGCAGATATCAGCTTGTAGAAACAGAAAAATAAAAAAGGTTAACCGAGTTTTTCCTATGTAAGATGGAATGTGCCATGATACATTTATTTATTTAATTTTGTCACATTCCACCCTCCATACGCAGGAGCCATGAAATAAATACACAGTGAAATAATTAAATGTATTTTTAAACTTTAAAAAATTATTGAAAGTGACATTTAAATATTTAATGTCATAATTTAAAAGGTACATTTATTTATTTTATGGGGTATTTAATTAATTAATTGTGTATTTAATAATTTAATTGTATATTTAACTATTTAATGATGTGCTAAATTAAATGATACATTATTAATAGGACAGTTAGTTATTTCATTGCATATTTATTTAATTGCATATTTACAATTATTTATTCATTTATTTCATGATGTATTTATTTATTTAATTTTGTCACATTCCACCCTCCATACCCGAGAGCCCTGAAATAAATAAATACACAGTGAAATAATAAAATTTATTTTTAGATGAAAAATTTAATGAAAAATTACATTATTTAAGGTCATTATTTAAAAAGTACATTTACTTATTTAATGGGACGCTTAATTATGTATTAAATAATTAAATGATACATTTAATTATTTAATGGTACATTTTTTATTTAA